TTTTTGCGAAGGGATACAAGCAAAAGGCAGGAATCGACTATGACGAAGTGTTTGATCCCGTTGCAAGAATGGAGACAATTCGATTGCTCATTTTCCAAGCAGCTCAATTCAAATGGGCGATTTTTCAAATGGATGTCAAGTCCGCATTCTTGAATGGTGTGCTTGAAGAAGAAGTCTACATTGAACAACCACTGGGGTACATGAAAATTGAAGAAGAGAAGAAGGTACTAAAATTGAAGAAGACGCTTTACGAGTTGAAGCAAGCACCGTGAGCATGGAATACTCGTATCGATACATATTTCAAGGAGAACGGGTACAAGCAATGTCCATACGAGCATGCATTTTATACAAAGAAGAGTGGAGGTAATGTGATATTTGTTGCTCTTTATGTCGATGACCTCATTTTTTTAGGTAACAATGATGAGATGATAGAAGAGTTTAAGGGCACAATGACACGAGAATTTGAATGACAGATTTGGGTTTTTTGAAGTTTTTCCTTGGTTTGGATGTTAAACAAGGAAAGACGGGCATTTTTATATCACAAGAGACATGCAAAAGAGATTTTTAAGAAGTACAAGATGACAAATTGCAACCCGTATCAATACCAATGGAACCAGGTGTAAAACTCTCAAAATACGATGAATGAGTACGAGTAGATGCAAATAGGTACCGGAGTTTGGTAGGAAGCCTTCGCTATCTTATATGCACAAGGCCAGATCTTTCATTAAGTGTCGGCATTATAAGTCAGTTCATGGAGGAGCCGATTTATTTAGATTAGAAGGCGTTGAAGCGAGTCCTACAGTACATCCAAGGAATGATGTCACTTGGGTTGTTCTACTCGAAAGCAGAAGATAACAAGTTGGTTGGTTACTCTGACAGCGATTGGTGCGGAGACATAGACGATCGGAAAAGTACATCGGGTTATGTATTCTTTATGGGCAACACAACATTTACTTGGCTTTCAAAGAAACAACCGATCGTGACACTCTCGACGTGTGAAGCTGAATATGTGGCAGCATCTTGGTATGTGTGTGTGTTTTTTACGCGATATGGCTTAGAAATTTGTTGAGCAAGATGAAGCTAAAGCAACTAGGTGCAACCGTGATTCAAGTTGACAACAAATCAACAATTGAGTTGGCAAAGAACTCAATGAACCATGAAATAAGCAAACACATTGACGTTCGTTTTCATTTTATCCGAGATCATGTGAAGGAAGGAAGTGTGGAATTGCTGCATGTGGCAAGTCAAGATCAAGTTGCGGATATTTTTACAAAACCGCTACCGAAAGTACTTTTCAAAAAATACAAGAAGATGATTGACATGACGGATGATGGTAGACGTATTTAAGTTTACGAGCAAGCCTCTATTTAAATATAAGTATGCTTTAATTTTAAATAGTAGTTTCATGAGTGACTTTTCATTTTTATACGGAAAATTTTGTTAAGATTTTGTTTTTTACGATGTTGTTACTAGTATTTCTTGTTTTAAATTAAACATATAAGTTCATGACTTCGTTTTAAATGTTTCACTAATTTTTTCGAAGGCGTTATTAAAGGCATGTATGTGGTGAAGTCCCTGATCTAAGTAAGAAAAATTAAGAGTGTTATACAAAGTCTACCTCGGAGGAGCATTATGATCCTTTCTTCGCCTCGCCAATTCTAGAACATGTAATTACTAAAAAATATCAGAGTTAATTAGGAGGAAAGAAAAAGAAAGAAAGAAAACAAAAGAAATGCTTGTAGGATAACTCCTCCATGTTTTAGGTGGTTAGGATATACATGTTTAGGAGTCTATATGGGCAATTTTGTTGAGAATATTATGCATGTTATGGATAATTATTTATAAAAATTTATGATGTAGGTTGATTTTAATTTTTTTTTCGTGGGGCTAAAATGGAGGAAGAGATATTGTAATATGTGCTCTGAGTAATTGATGGACGTTATCTCCCAATTGAGCTTCCATGGATGATTAGGTTATGTTCTATAGGTGATTAATAGGAATATCCTTAGCAACGATAAGATGTCTAGACCTGAGTACTCTAAGAAGTTGGATTAGCCCCTAGAGCTAGCCTAAAGTGCCCTAGAAATGTGCGATGAGGACTAAATTGCTTAGACACCCTAACAACTTAGTGAACTTCCATGACAAGGCAAGTAAGAAAGCTTAACAAGGTTAATAGCAGTGCAAATGGTGTCACTAGAACCTCCGAGTCCACTTGAGTTTACTTTAGAGTGTAAAGACAAATCAAGACTGAGGTCACGATTTCGTAAATTGATCCTAAAGAGGGACTTAGGACTATATGGATAGTTAGTTGAGATGAGTACTTCTATTGAGTATAAAAATGGATCAAGGCTGAAGTCGCAATTCCGAAAACTGAACTTGAGAAGAGACTTAAGACTACACAAGTAGTTGGGTCAAGGTCAATGATTCTATTGAGTGTAGGAACGGGTGAAAAAATGAGAACACAATTCCATGAATTAGTTCTAGGAGGAGCCTTGGGACAATACAAGTAGTTGACTCATTAAGAGTGCCTCAAGTGAGTGTGGAAACAACCCCAAACCACTTGAATAGGGTCACGCTGCCATAAATCCATCTAAGAGGGACGTAAAACCACAAGACTTAATAATTAATCTACTCCCAAATTGAATATGACACTATGAGCCTATGTTAATGATTACCAATTAACCTTACACAGATGATGTAATGACCCGACTTTTCGCACATGCATCGATCAGAATCATCACTTAACAATTAAAATACATGTAAACATGCTAAAGATAATTTACAAAAAAAAAAATAATAATAATAATAATGTTTGGGTACCCTTTTTAAATAATATAAAAATATACAATTTAATCAAATAGTTTTACAATAATAAGGTAATTAAAGAAAATGATAACATTCTCAAATTTTGTTCCATAAAGGAATGTTCCAACAAAACTTAAAATAATAAAATCAATTTAATGTTGAAGAGTCCTAAATAATAAATTAAAACATAAAACTCTAAGTTGTCCCATGATCATCATTTCCACCCACACTCAGCATGCTAAAACCTTGTTCTTACCTTAAACTATTATATAGTTCATCAATCAAAATCAAGAAACCTTGATGGTTGATTATTCGTAACACACAGCGTGTATTCAATTCACCTAAAATAGTTTATAGTAATCACTCTTTAGTGACCAATAGTGATTGGTTACCCAATACATATAACGTGTAATCCTTATCACGTTTATAAATTTCGGCAATCACCCATGTGACCAATAGTGGTTGGTTACCTGATACATACAACGTGTAACCCTCATCACATTTATTTCATTCAAAAAATCATGATCTACATAAATGCGGTCCCAAAATAATTATTTTCATGATCAATAGGCACGATAACAAACAATAACATCCACATAATAATTCATATAATGTTTCAATAGGAAAGTCTCCTACTTTCCTAAATTGCTACTAAGAAATAAAGGTCTTATTCGGACTTAGACCAAACCTACCTCAACAACTCTAACATTTGTTGAGCTTTATCACTCATTGTTCTCTAATAGAATAAGTGGTCTCAATTCCTACCTTTCCCGAACACAAGTCATTAGTTGCTACTTCAAATTCCCACTTTCGTACCTTGGTTACAATATTGAAAATTAGAGATAACCATTCGTGGTACGTCGAATCAAGAATGGAGATTGGACTAAAAGTATAAAACCTAACGAAACTAACTGTTCATTCTTTTTTACGGCAATGGCGACGATAATGAGCTACGGTGTTCGTGGTAGTTGATGGTAGTTAAGGTGACAAGGAGGAGGAAGGAAGAAAAAGAATATGCAGAGAAAAAGGGAGATAGCGACGGCTTCCTGCAGGTAGTTGTGGCGGCGACAGTCCTCAGGTTGCGTGCATAGAGAGGCGTAGGTGTGGCGACTAGGGCTGTGGGCTCAGCTTCATAGCTGAGCCTAAGATTTCTTTTATGTTTTTTTAATTTATTTTAGGCGGGTCTTTATAATATCTTAATGTCGGTCATCAACGGTTAAAGCCATACAAGCTTACTAAGTATGAGAATAGAAAAGTTGGTTCACGGTGAGATGAGACCTGTTATCAGAAAGATCCATAGTGTTAGCACCTAGTGTTTGCTTCCAAGCACCGATAGGGTCTAACATGTAAGAGAATCGCTCGAAGATTCGAGGCCTTTCTAAAATATCAAATAGCAATAGAAGTAGGCTCAACCTTTTTAAAGCTTAGAAAAAATCATGTAGTATTCTACTATGAATTGACTACAATGAGCCTCTAAGTAGGCTACTTATTGATTATTTTTTATACTCACTCCATTTCTCGTTTTTAGGTGATTGCCAATCGCAGTAGAGTAACATCAAAGAGTTGCACGGTCATAGAGGGGGTCGTTCCGGGCGTCAGTCTAGTCTATGTATATTGGATTTTTTTTTTCTTTTTATATTGTTCGAAATTGTATCCCAAACACATGCTTCATCTATAATAAACTCGAACAACACCAAAATTGTGTTTGCTTTATATTATGTCTTAATTGTAGTGTTGTTTGTTTTAAATTGAGCAAAATTTTATCTTATTTGTATTATTTTACTTTTATTTTATTTATTTTTGTCTTGTCTTTTTAGTTATGGTCCAAAATTCGATACCACAAAAATTTGATCGTGACAACATACCCGTTCAAAGGAAAGATTGTCACATATTATTAAGAAAAGTCATGCATTGGGTAAAAAATCAACCACCTATTTGACTATTAAAAAAATAATTAAGCATTAGAAAAATTGGACGAGCGGAAAAACGTCGTGAGAGAAAGAAATTAATGATAGAAAAATTTAAATATTGTTTAAAGATTATAATCCGTCCTATATTAGTTTGAATATTGTGTCTAATAAATTCTTGACCATCGGGAACATTTTTTAATTTAATTATATTCTTTAGATAAGAAAGTTGTTCATTTTTTTTGTTTCTATTTGGGCACCTGTTAAAGTCATAGGTGTTAGGTAGTAGGTAGACTTTGAAAATGGAGAAGCTAAAAATATCGCCATGCTCCGTATTCAACTGCCACTGCAGTTCGTTTCTCCCAAGGGACTCCCAATTGAATCCCCTCAATTTTTCCAGGTAAATTCCTTTTTCTTTCCCCCAAACCCCCCGGACTTTTTTATTCTGTCGTACTTCCTTCTTCTTGTGATTCAACATACCAATTCATTTTCCGTATTTCAACAATTGTAGATGAAGATTACGAAAGCAAAAAAAAGAAACCTCCAACAAATTCTGAAATTTAGAGGCACCAATGATTTGATTTTGACTGTTCGAATCTAGGAAAACCCTTGAATGCTTTGATTTTGACTGTTCGGATTTAGGAAAACCCTTGAATGCCGTGTAATTTCAATTGGGCTGAATTGAAAACATCGAGAACCTATGAATTTCATTAGGAATTTTGGTTTGACCTTTTGATGATAGGTTTTGCATAATGTTTCGGGTGATAATCGTAGAGGGTTTCAATCTTCAATGTACGTAATGCTTGAGAAGGGCGAAAATCAGCGTGGTCGTCTCGTTTGAACCTGATTGACTGGTTGTGTTTTTAGGGAAAGTGCAAATATATCAGGAACATGGCCGAGTCAGTTGGGAGTAGGAGCATGGATAAAAAGCTTATTCAAATCGATATAAGCTCCGACACCGTTTGCCCCTGGTGCTTTGTTGGCAAAAAAAATCTTGACAAAGCTATCTCTGCTTCTCAGGATCAATATCATTTTGAGGTTCTCTTATCTAATCTTTTGTTGTCTTATGCATCAAACTTTTGTAGAATTGAGATATATTCATTGTAGCAATCATTTAAAAAAAGGTTTACTATCATATGAGAGATGGAAGCCATGAATAAAAGATCTTCCTCTTCTAGTCTACTTTTTCTCTTTATGGTAAAGAGAAAATGTGTGTTCTTATATATAAAGAGTGAGAACTGCCCTCTGTTATAGTTGTATATTGTTTGGAAATATCATGAAAATGTTAAGTTTCCTTTTGTGCGCTGTATCAAGTTTAGATATTAGGACGAGCCTTAACGTGCGAAATGTTAGTGTGAAATGGGGTGACATAATGTTGCAATGATCTGAACTCAAATTTCTTCTATTCTGATCTCATATTAAGTCATCGTGGAATGTAGAAGCTTGAGCTATTGAACTAAGGTGATTTAATATTTTCAATATATATCTAAATATATTTGGTAGAAACTCATATCGCCCTCCTACTAGTATGAGTAAAATTCATGAGCGATGCAAGGACCCTAATTTGGCGTGCATTAATTACTCTAATTTTCAACTGGTTTTAGTTCATAGAGTAGGACTAGAACCGAAACTTTGCGCAAGTTTGAATTTCTCATCTCATGGAAAACCCTTTTCACTCCGCTTAGCCCTACCCTCCAGTTGGGGTATTTTAGTGATAGGTTCTATAGGAATTGGACGATGCTATTCACGATATGTTGAAAACTCTAATTCTGTCATAGTTTATATGCTGTCTTAACCTTATTACTTGTTTAACATAAATTTGCAGTTGAAATGGCATCCATTCCAGCTCAATCCTTCTGCTCCCAAAGAAGGTGTTGTTAAGAAGGAATTTTACAGGAGTAAGTTTGGAATCCAATCTGAACAGATGGAAGCTCGGATGGTTGAGGTTATCCTAATGAACAATTCTGAAAGCATTCTCGTCGATGCTCTGTTCTAATCAAATTTTCACCCTTGAATACTAAGTTACTATGAAATTTTGGAATTTTTCAGGTGTTTAGGGGTCTTGGACTGGATTACGACATGTCTGGGCTGACGTAAGTGTGAAGCATATAATAACGGATTTGAGGAGGTATGATTTTTGCTAACACGAACGTCGTATTTTCAGGGGAAATACCCTAGACAGCCACAGGCTTATATATTTGGCAGGTCAACAAGGTTTAGACAAACAGCATGATCTTGTGGAGGAGTTGTGCCTTGGATACTTCACTCAGGGAAAATACATTGGAGACAGGTATGTGGTGAGAAATTTCTTACAGTATTAGTGGCGTAATAGAGCTGATCACATTGTCAAATTGCTGTAGGGACTTTCTTTTGGAATGTGCTAGAAAGGCGAGGGTCGAAGGAGCAGCAGAGTTTCTCGAGTCGGATGATAAAGGAGTTAAGGAGGTATCAATACAGGTCCTATATGCTTTATTCGGTTTCCTAGACCTAAATATGTCTACATATGGTTCACTGTAGGTCAAGGAAGAGCTTGAGAAGTACTCGGGAAAAATCTCAGGAGTTCCCTTTTATGTAGTAAGTGAAAAACAATTAACTTTCTCCAACTGATGTAAAGCCAGGATTTTTTTTATTATGTGTTTCTGAACAGAATGTTATGGCAGATCAATGGGAAGCACAAACTGAACGGCGCTCAACCCCCTGAGGTTTTTCTAAGAGCTTTTCAAGTTGCTGGAAAGTGATTGATTGAAACTGAAGTGAAGCTTTTGAATTTGATGCAAGTCATTTGCTAAACTCACCATACATACTGTTCTTGTATTTACTACCATAATGGAATGCATGTCGGATCTAGCTGCTATTTACAGAACAATGATTCAAAGATCTAATATTCCTACTATGAGGCATAATTCGGCTGAAAATTACATTGAAATAGTAATTATAGGAGCTTCCCTCTATTGGGGCTGGAGCAAATGGAACGTGTGATGTGAGTATAGCTGGCCTAAATTGGGCTGTGTAGCTGTTTGGTGGTGTGCTTATTGATGGATGGATTATTTTCGGTATGGGCTTAGGCCTATGCGTGGGCGTGAATAATCCTTCATTTATCTTTGAGCAAGAGGCATTGGTTCGTCTGGTAACATCTACACTTGGCAGTACTTCGGTTGCCAGTCTCTCTAGTTGGATGGGCGCCGGCCGATCTTTCGACTGAATCTCCCTAAAAACCGTACGTATTGGTCTCCCGCATGTGGCTCATGCCATTCGAGGTGGCCCACGATCTTGTGAGTTTCCATTTTTTTTAGGGAAAGTAAGGAGAGTGGGAAAGCTAACCTACTCTTTTGTTTGGTGAATCTCACCTTCGTCCAAAAGTTTGGACTTTTAAGTGAAAAAAAACATGTTATCTAACATTGAGTGTTATGCTAAGAGATTACCATTTTGATACAGTCGGTTCCACTGGTCATTTTTCGGGAGAAGTTTTGAAATTGAACTAGTCAATTAATTAAGAGGTTCATTGCTAACCTATTGGCTTCATCAACATCATCGAGGGCATTTTGTGAATGAGAAGAAGTGGTAGGTGGAGAATGTGGGCTGAGCTTCGTCACGTGGAGGCGTGGACGTACGGGCTGGCAAGCGGATTGGGGGCATGCGTGCAAGAGCTGTCGCGTGAATCGGACCCTTGAATGGTTGGCCTTTGATGCACAAGCCTTGTGCGGCCCATGGTGGGTGTTGGCTTTGGGCGGCCTGCTTGCGCGTGCTCTGATGGGCTGCTCCTGGCGGCGTACGAGTGACACGAGCGCGCCTACACAATCGGAAGGCTGTCCTTCCCATGGGTTCAGGAAATAAATGAATTAAATAAAATGATATAGACGGTAAATAATTAATACAATAATAAAAGTGCATGTTATATTTTAAAAATTACATAGCATGCATGGTAGAGTAAGTTATTATAAACAAGATGCAACCAAATTCAAAAAAGAATTTATATCACGTATATAAAAATAATTATTACAATAAAATAATTAATTAATTTTGATCCATTATAGATTAAATTTGGATCAAATAATTAAGTTTAAAACTATGATATATTATGAATGAAGGAGATGATCAAAATTAGTCCAAAAATAATTAATTAGATAATCGATGAGTAATTAATTATAATTTTGGAAAAGCTTAAGTTGACTAATTCTAATTACTCAAATCAAACACGTCATTAGCGATGCCGCGTGAAGCCCACAGTGGCAATATTGTCAACTTTCAAATTTATTGTAACAACTCTAGATTTCTACTCTATAAAATTTAACTCTCAAAATATCATCTTTAAAATAATAATTTCAAGATAAACATGATACCATCCTTGAAAACATCGCTACCTCTTACGTGTTCAGAAACATAATTCAAAAACAAAACTAAAAATGATAATGATAAACAATTCAAAAAACGTGAAATGCATAACATCATATTCGAACATAAGTCTAGGAATTTAAATATGCTACTAGTCTATGCACATGCCATGGTCTTTGATTGCAATGTCGTCGTTAGCCGTACAAGGGCGGGCCTTTACCTGAAAAGTGACGTAGCACACGACTTGAATATTTCGAAGAATACTCAATAAGTGACCCCACTATAGGAGCTGTAAAAATGCAAATACATGCAATGATGCTCTAGGGACGTATCATTAAAACATCCTAGGGGTGGCCTCTAGTCAGGACTAAATTGGATATGTAGTACTTTCCTACACACGACCCACACGTGCTAGCGTGAATCCCCAGACGGTTCGCACCCCTCTAGACCTATCATAGTAGAGCTAGTTGTACGTAACAACATCTAGAGGTCAGCAAACTCCTAAGTGTCATGCACGACATGATCACTATCATCATCGTAGTGTACGAGTCCGTACTCATTATCGTAGCGTACGATTTCATACTCATCATCGTAATAGAGGAAGTATCCCAGTGCTTATGTACACACAGACATGCATGAGATCCCTATGATTTTCTCGTCTTAAAAACATCTTTATGACAAAACCTTAATTTCATTCTTATATTACTATCCGTGTGCATTAATCTTCATGTTTTCATCATCATTAATCATTAACTAGGGTTCTGTCCTAGAACTAATCGTCATAGTGCAGTATGACATTCACAACATGCTTCTCAACTTAATATGGAAAATAATGTCATATTAAAGAAGTAACATCATATTACGTTGTCATGTTAACATGCATCGTCATCATTATGCAACATCATCATAAACATATCATCATCATCGTAACATCATGGAACGTTATCATATAGCTCATACACGTCATCATACATCTTCATCATACGTCATACGTCATAGTTCATCAGCAAGGCATCATAAACATAAAACATAAATGACACGTGACTGTGCCACTAGGCACGTGTTGTCATACATCAAACGATTGTCTAACCTATCCTATAGTAAGATCACTTACTTGTTCGTCTTTAACCGATGTTTCTCTAATTTCAAGTTCGCTAAGAATCGTTTTCTATTAGATCGTTCATTCCCTTTCGTTAGTATTTTACAATTATAATTTAATTTTAACTTGAAATTGTGAAATACAACATCGTATTGACCTTAATTACCTTAGTTATGGTCAAAATTGGCTTCAGGAGGGCCGGAACAATGGCCAAAGGTAATCAGCAATTTAAACTGCTGAAGCCAACGAAATGTCTGTCTGTAGGCGTGACACGTGTCACCGAGGGAAAGGAACACGTTGCGGCTTATCTCTCAGGTCGAGGTGCGGGTTTGGGTTAGATGTAGCGAGCACGCGGGGCTGGAACAACTATTGGGCTGCTGCAGGTGAATTGGGGCGACGTGGTTAATGGGTCGAGCTGCTGAAGATTGCTGGGCCGAATGGGTAGCTGGGCTGGAATGACACTCGAGTTGTAGGCATCGCGGGTTTTATCAGGGCTAGCAGATATGGATTGGTGGCTGCAGGTGTTCGTTTGGTGTAGGTGGGTTCGACACGGATCCAGATCCGACAGGTTCGTCTTCTTTGCCCAATTTTTTGGTTACGGGTTCGTCTTCTTTGCTCGTTGTTTTTTACATCATTTCTCGTCTTTTTTCTTTCTCTACCTCTCTGTCAGTCTCTCTTCTTCTCTTCCACGAAGTCTTGTGACTTGAAAATACCTACAACGACAAATCCATGATACTCCCAAAATTCAAAACTTAAATCTAAATTATGATGATGCACGACATTGTTAAGCATATAAAGCTTACCTCTCGTGTATGTGGGATCGACAGTGGTTCTTTTCACGCCATGAATCGATTGTTTCGACGTCGGGTTTGTGAGATCGACTTTGCCGAAAAGTTTCAAGTTCTCTCTCTCTCTCTCTCATTCATTCTTTCTCTCCGTGTTTCTATCTTATAGGTACTCTAGGAGCGTGCCTGAGGTCTGTGGGAGTGTTTGGTGATCCGTGTGGGTTGTTGGGACCGCACTGGTTTTTATTTTTATTTTTATTATATATATTTGTTACATTATATACCCCTAAAACCAACTTTCTTCCTAGAAAGTTTCAAACTCTTGTACTAATTTGAGGTATTTTTCTCTTATCTCATCCTTCTGCTCTCGCGTATCTCTATTGCATAAGCTTTCACTTTGTGAGTTAGGATTCTTATGGGCTTCTCTTCATAACTTAAGTTTTCATTAAGCTGAAGGAGCTCGTAATCTATCACGTGGTTAGCGTCATGTATTTCCTCAGCATTGAGACGTGGAATGCATTGTGTACAACTGAGATGGAGGGTGGTAGGGCTAGTTTATATGCCACTAGACCATTTCTCTCAAGAATTTCGAAGGGTCCAATGAATCGAGGGTTCAGTTTTTCTTTACGCCCGAACCTCAAGACACCCTTCATTGGTGCCACTTTTAGAATTATTGGGTCTCCTACTTTGAACTCTAAGTTCCGATAGCCTCACATCTATGTAGCTTTTTTGTCTTCTTTGAACGGTACGCTCTAATTTTCTAAACAGCCTCATTGGTGACTCAAACCAACTCGAGTCCTACCAATTCTCTATCGCCCACTTCATCCTAGTATATTGGGGATCTACATCATTTTCCATATAAGGTCTCAAACAAAGACATCTCGATGGTCACTTGAAAGCTGTTGTTGTATAAGAACTCCATCAGGTGTAATTTTGATCCCAACTTCCCTTGAAATCTAGTACGCAAGCACGTAGCATGTCCTTTAGAATCTAATTCAAAAGCTCTATTTTACCATTTGTTTGGGGGTGAAAGGCAGTACTGTAGTCAAGGCGAGTACCTAATGCTTTCTTGAGTCAGTGCCAAAATGCTGACGTAAGGAGTGGGTCTCGATCTGGGATTATCAACACTGGAACTCCATGTAGCCTCACTATCTCTTTCACATACAACTGAGCCCAATTATTGACTATATATGTTACTTTTCCTGGTAGGAAGTGTGCCAACTTAATTAATCGGTCGACAATCACCTAGATTACCATATAGACCTTTAGTGTTTTGGGTAGTCCTACTATGAAGTCCGTGACTATATTTTCCCACTTCCACTCCAGTATATTTAGGGGTTGTAATATTTCCACTGTCTTTTTTTCTGGGAGCTTTTACTTGTTGATACTAAGCAGTTGCTCACAAGCTCTGCTACGTCTTTCCTCATACTTCGTTGTACATCTTAGTACTGCCTCGATGTATAACAAATCGCAAGTTATTAGCCTCCGTCACTATCTCTTTCCTTAAATCCTCTATTATTGGGACACATAGGCGTCCTTGACACATTAGTCCGTCATCTAAGAATTTTGAGAACCCGTCCACTGAACCCTATGCTAGCTGGCTCATAATCTTATGTAGGTTACGGTCCTCTCGTTTCGAATCAATTATCC